GAGAAGCATTCGGGTGGTGACCCGTGTCCAATCGCTGCAACGACGACAACAGCCGAGCCATAACAATGTCTGGAAATCAGCGCGTGTCCTGCGCTTTGCCAACCCTAGCGCGTGGCTATGATCAACACTGGCGGCATATAATCGGCTCCAGATCACGTGGCCGCTTGTTCTGGCTGCGAGTTGAGGGGGTGAACGCTGCTCGTTTTTCTTAAATTTTTTCCTGGGACTTCTATTGCGTGGGGTGAAAAACGAACGCGTGTTTCATAGGTCATTAACGTTAGGGATCCGTTTTAAGCGGTATTTGCGCAAAGTACAAAAAATGTTGCATCGCTCCTTTAAGCTCTGTGCACATAGTAAATACCTTCTACATTTAATGGCTGCATATTTGACGAATTCGACAACTTATATGAAGACGGGTGAACAGCGGCTCGGCTCGGCTTCGTCGAGCCGAGTCGAGGTGACCGGAGAAGTCGGACACATCGTTTCACGTCACACGATGTGGAGAGCAGTTATTGGAGGAGCAGTCTATAGCTGGTGTTGGTTGAGTTCGTTTCTGCACAGCGAAAGCTTTCGACTAGCTTCCACAACGCTTCCGCAGCGTGCTTTGTACACTACCAAGGTTGTATTTATTCTTAGAAGATTAGTGGGGACTCGCTGCTAAAACTGACAACCTTGATGATGTGGAACGCACGTTGCTAAACAACTGTGGAAGCTCGCCGTCAGCACGTGCTCAGCAGTCGCGCACATAGCTATGGCCTCCAGATTTCATTAAAGCCCCTCTATCCTGGGAAAGGTGGCGCCATTCATTGTTGTCGAAATGCTCAAAGCTAAAGCCCCTTGATAAAGGCGTTTTTTACAAGTACAGCCAACCATTGTTAAGGAACCGCGCGAGACACTGGCCACGAGCGGGTGCTCCGCCGCCATTCGCTTCCGGACCGCTCATTTCAGTGCTGCGCCGTCATTCGCTTCCAAGGGCCGCTCGAGATGCGAGTCTCGTGCACTCGCGCATTTGACGCTACTTGCACGACAAACGCACACCTATCGAGGGGCTTTACTTGAAGCACGTGCCACGCGCCACCTTTGGGAAGAACATGGCGTCTGATATCTAGCTCAGTGCTACAGTGTACTATACTCCGCGACAACTTTTCTTGGCAATGCAGTGGAAGGTACAGGCCCGTGTCCCCTCTCCCATTTTGAGTGTGCGCGGGCTCTCCTCCTCTCCCCGGAAATGGGGGAGGAGGAGAGCCTGCGTACACTTAAAATGGGAGAGGGGACGCGGGCCTGTACCTTCCTCTGCATTGCCAAGAAAAGTTGTCGCGGAGTATAGAATACTTGGGTAGTGTTGGGACCGGAGGGGCTCGCCTGAAGCGCGTGGTATTGATCGCGACAGGTGTCGACACTGGCGCGTTATCCAGAAGGTGTGCGCATGCGCGGCCGCATGCGCGAAAATATGAATCTTTGGTGCCGCTTTGGTGGAGTGCACATAGAATTTGTGATACGGCTACGACCTGCCAGCGGTCGTACCGCGGCATCAATTACGCTGCGGCACGATCGTTAGCAACATGATGCTTTAGTGTATTGGACGGTACAAGCTACATTACCCTTCCTTTACATAAAAACAATTGCGACTTTAATGAAGCGGATTGCAATTGTTTAAGCGTAGAATTAGCTGCGACTTTCGGTTTGTCGGATGGTGAGCGTTTTAAATGAAATGCCCATTCCCTTGGTCGCAAAGGCCGAACATTATATGTTTGAAAGGGATATCTAAAACTCAGAAGCAGTTTTTTTGTTGTTGTTGTTGTTTTTTTCCTATCTTATTTTGTAATGGAACAAAACGGCACATATTTAAGTCCGAGATTGTTTAGTATGTTTTTAATACCCCAGGTTAACTTCTCTGTCTTCTTTTCTGTGCGTTTTTTTTTTTCTTGACCTTAATCAGCTTGCTTCACTTGTCACTCATTCTTGTGTTCATTTATGCGACAAACCACCTAAGCGACCATCGCAAAGAGATGAGAATTTTATATTTATTCATGGCTGCCACGACCATCCAAGGACGACCCGACGTTCAATTGTAAGAAATGGCTTATAAGCCGTGACAATTTTTATCACGCGTTTTAACATTGAACTTAAGTCCAAACACTGAAACAATGTGGGATGAACAAGTAATGCTTTATAAGATTCAAAGAAAACAAACAACAATTTCACATCATTTTGAGCATAAAACATGAGCACACCTAGATCAGGCAAGGAAAAAGTTGCAATAGTTTACAGCACGGCATTGAAATAATGGTTACAATGTGCAGCGCATACATGGTTACGGTATGCAGCGCATTATCCTCTTCAGGGTAAACCATCTGAAACCCACACGCTCATAACAATACATTTAACCGACAGCTGCTTTCTGACAACCAGGTAAGTCTCGCCTTATCTGGGTATTTCAAGGGAAAGACCCATGGTTTCCAAGGGGGCGTATCTGGTTCACGCAGTCATACAGGGTGTTTTTGTTTTATTCTTTACAGAACCTTAGATATTTTACAAAAAAAGGATGTGGCAGATATGTGGATGCCGTCTTTCGTTATATCTGTAGAGCTCGGTGGACAATAAATGGGTGAACAACCGTTGCAACGTTTAATAATTAATTCAAAATTTGCTAGTTCACTTGTTTATTAACGGCTTAATTGGCCATGGTGCAATTGCAGTTTTAAAAGCAGTCATTATTAAAGGCAAACACAATTTCGACAATTCGCGAAAAGGCCAACGAGGTTCGCGAAATTTATCGTAAAAGTTTGCCTTTCTTCGCCTGATTCAGAAACCGCGTTATGAATATAATACGTAGAAGAGTGACTTAGTCGGCTTGATGTGTGGCGCCGGCGAGTCCACTGAAGACACACTATCGAGTTTGTGACGAGGGGACAGAAACAACTGTGTCATTCTTCTATGCATCAATATCAGTACAACCTCATTCGCGCTTTCAGCGCGCGGTTTTCTAATTAAGCGAAGAAAGGCAAAATTTTAGCGATGAATATCTCAAAGCTCGTTGTTTGTTCGCGAACTTTCTAAATTCGGTTGGCCTTTAATAATGGCTCCCTTTAAAGCTGCAATTGCAACATGGCCCATGAAACCGTTCATTAAAAAGTTAATTACCATATTCGGCTAAGTAATCAAAATATCGCAATGGTTATTCACTCATGTAGGGTCCGCCGAGATCTACGGATGTACAGTGCAGACGGCCATACACGTATCTACTACCACCTTTTAATTAATTATGTAAAGTTCTGTAAGAATAAAAAAAAATATCCTGCATCAGCATGAACTCACAACATTGGACATGCCTGGGATGTAGTCATTTCTTCTTTTCGATTATGGGAGTAAGAAGCTTTTAAGTTTGTTGTCGGTTGTTCAAGAGTTCTGTCGCTGTTTCGCCGACGGCATTTCGGCACTACCCTTACGCGTTCACCATCCGCAAAATCAGAACACAAGATTCAAAGCATATTACGATGAAACACACGGAACTATGAAATCGTGGTCCCGACACGCGCACTGCTCGAAGTGCAAAACACACGGAACTATACTCTGTTTCACCTTGTGTCGGACCGCAGGAAAGGCTACAAGCGCGAGCTCCTTGCTGTAGGGCGCATCTCGGCGGCACAAGCTCTCGTGCACCAAGGGCAGCTGCCAACGCTATGAGCTCGCACTTCTAGCCTTCGCTGCGGTATAGACGCTTTACACACGCGCCAAATTACAGCCGCCATTGCTGACCTTCTTTTGTCTTACCGAGATGCCGAGCAACTGAAACGGTAGTTGACGATCCTCTACAAAGGCCGATGCTTTAGAAAAGGACACAGTTGAATCTAGTACGGCAATAACCTGGCCTGCTATGGTAATGATGAAGTGAAATTAACGAAATAAGAGGAAACAAAAACTGAAGGTCAGTTATGGCGGCCTCCATGCACAGCTGCTGCAAAGGGTCAATAACATAAGGTGAAACGGAGTGTATAAAATCGTCGCACCGACAGGAGCACCGCTCAAAGTAAAAAAAAAAAAGGCGGGCTGTGCGATTTCTTTTTGGATAACTCGACTACAGCGCCGCCACGAACTGTCAATACACGCGCCCTCACGAGCTCCCGTTGCCGAGCCGCTCAGGTCCCAACACTACCCAAGTATTCTAGTCATTCTAGTACACTGTATCAGTGCTGCGATGTGCCGCCATGATCTTCCCAAGGGCTGCACATTGCACGTGCCTCGTGCATCGATGCACCTTGCGCTACTTTTAAAACATGAAGAGGCTTTAGATGTCATCGTCCAACAAACCAGCAGTAGGACATGTAAAATAAATAAAGAGGACGAAAATCGCTCGACGATCCCACGACCTGATGCATTGCAGCGATACCTGTGCTGCTTACTCGACGATATGACGATGACGATCGATTGCATTGAGCCGATCACGCGTAATGCGATGATCTTATACTCAAATGACGTTGCGTTGAATTAGCGTCGGTACGTTGTTGATGAATAAATTAGTTTAAGTTCATGATGTGTTTTCCCGCCAAATATAGAAGGGACAATTAATTGGTACATAGGTCACGTGACGTCAATTCTTTTCGCTAAATTTAGCGGGGAACCTGAATTTGTCTAGGTCCCATGACTTCAGGTCAGGTGAAATGAACTTTCCCGCCAAATATAGCGGATAAAGTGAATTGGTGCATAGATCACGTGACGTCAATTTTTCCGCTAAATTTCGCGGGGAAGCTGAATTGGTGAGTGGGTCACGGGATGGTCATGTCACTTGACATCAATCCTCCCGCCAAATTTAGCGAGGAAGCTGAATTGGTGTATAGGTCACGTGACGTCAATTTTTCCGCTAAATTTAGCGAGGAAACTGACGGCGTTTACTCTCGCGCAGTTGTGAAATCGGCAAACGGGCCACTAACAGATGTCGCTGTAAAAAAGAAAAAAAAAAAGCAAATTTCGGCATGTTTTTTTGTATGCGTGTGTTGCAGATAAGCCGCAAGTGACACTCGAGTTCGGTGCTGGGCTGAAGGAATCCATGATCTACGAAGGCCACGACATCTTCTTCGTCTGCAACGCGTCCGCTTACCCCAGCATCACGGACGTCGTGTGGGACTTCAACGGTTCGCCTTTGCAGCAGAACAACAACAGCCGCGGACCCCTGATCGTCAACCAGAGGTACCTGGTGCTCCGGAACGTGCAGTACACAGACTCCGGAAACTACTCGTGCACGGTAACGAACCCCGAAGGAGTGACCACGAGCAAAAGGCTGCAGCTCAAGATACAACGTGAGTATGCAACGGGTTAAGTGAAGCCTTAACGGACGCGTCGTTTTAAATGCCCCAACCGCTCGCCTTGAGGTTCTTTTTCTATCGTAAACAATCCCATTCTTGCCGTCAACACCAGCCGCCAACACATGGCTTGCCTCGATGTCACACCAGCTGCAACTGTGGTGGTCTCCTGCTGAGCGCGTGCCTTGTGCGACACACATTTCGCAGATCTGATTTGTTGTACTCAGCAAGAACAAGTGAGAATAATCACCAGCATGGTGCGATGGCGTCACGTGCACGCCATGTACAGAAAGACCTGGTTTTAACGAATTTGAGGTGGATTTATTTTTGTTATTTTCGTTGGAAGCGGAAAGAAAGGCGGTTCGGCATTCATTGTGAGCATTCGGTGTTCTTTAGAGAGACAATGACAGTGCATTTAAGTACACCTACAATTTTTCAAACCACGAAGCAAAGGACTTGAGAGCCAAAAAAAAGTGTTTGCAACTCAAACCTCCGACGCGTTTTCGCAACAACCCAACTGGTCGAGAACTGGCCGCTCCAGGGCTCCCCAAACTACTCTCCACAGCCATTTGCGATAGAGATATGTAACTCAAAATATTTGAAAATTAAAAGCCGACTGCAGCGCATATCTTCATAAAATAAAAAAAAATAATAGAATTCAAAAACTGAATTTTTATAACCACACAATCATCGAAAAGGTGCGTATCTAAATGTTCTATATGAACGCGTAGCCGCGAGAAATCAGACAATGAACGTTACTGTTTTAGCGAGTAATGAACACCGTTTAACGAGTAACGAGCATCAGGAACTCTGTTACACCCACAAGCAACGTCATAGGATATCCCGCAGATTACTACGTAGTATATGCGGGCTTCTCTGTTAAAGTCATGCCACCACAGGTACGAGGGCAGTCTATTGTTACAGGTGTCCAGGCTGACATCGGCGGGTTACCCTACGACGTTATTGTGGGTGTAGCAAAGTCCTTGATAAAGGTGCGAAGGGGTCAACCCAGTCCTAAGGTTAGACAAAAACATATAACCAGGCCGATGGTGGTGCCTTATGCTCACGCCCTCTCCCATTAGGTTAAGCGAGTTGCTTACCAGTGTAACGTGCCAGTGGAGTTTTTAGCACCCCAGAAGCTGTCACGACTGTGCTGGGCTGTTAACTGAGGGAGTGTCAGAGATTTCTATTGTGATGTTAACCACCGCGCTCCTTTTGTCCCATGCGCACTAAGGATTCTGTACCAGGTCCCCTTCATATGTGGCTGGTTGTACATTGGACTAACGGGGAGGTGCGTGAACCTGAGGGCGAGGGAGCATTCCCTTGTTCTCTGTTCCTCCTGCGCTGGACATTTAACGGTACATTGCGGTAGGTGCGGTCGCGTGCCTTTTTTCAATGACTTGATGATCCTGCCGCGTGAAATATAATGAGATGTAAGAATAACGTAAAAATAAGACCGCCAGAGAGATTGAAGAGGCCTCTTTTATTTCATCAAAAGTAGAAGGGGAATATGTTAGCGTACCGTCGGTGAACTTGGGGGATGACGAAGTCCTTTTTATCAAGAACAGTGGCAAGCACGTGTCAAAGATATATGACGTAGTAGAAGTAGGGTGACTACCTTTCTGCAGGCGAAATGCGGGCCACTTTGACCGGGGGGGGGGGGGGGGGGGGGGTAATTAAGATGAGGACGGTATTTTTATCAGTCAAGAAAAAAAGTATTAAAGGAAATTTACCAACACGCACACCCCGAAATCCTATGCTGTCTGAAAGCCTATCATACCCCTGATAATTGTGTGCGGCAATTAAGTGACCTATTTTTGTTCGATTGTAATTGAAAATATTTTAATGAAAGTGTCGAAGTTGAAAACATAAAAATGACTGCACCAGACCCCAATGCATCAAAAGAAAATAAGAAACAGTAAATATTTTCCGGCTTATTGTTTCTTGTCGATACTTACTCTTACACTAACATACTCCTACACAAATGAGAAAGTTATGTTGTTTTTTTTCGGCCGTCAGAAGTTAAAGATTATTTTGTCTTTAATGGCCGTCTTCACAAAAAAAAAAAAAAACTTTTTACAACTTTTTTGCATAATAAATTAAGATTTGCAAATGATTACAATAGTTTATATTTCAGCTTTTGGCCAGCGATTTTCGCTTGCAATATTTTGCCATCAAGGGGAGAGGCACAACGGCGCATTCGCGTCGGTCTCCTGGAAGGTGTTGGGACCGAGCGGTGTCCGTGGTGGTGGAGGGGCGACTCGAGCCAGGCACCGGGCTAGAGCTCAGCGGGAACAACGATGAGCCGCGATCTCTATCGAAAAGTGCACTGTTTATTTACATGATGTACAGTTGGTTCAAGAACAGAGAGGGGGTTTGCTGGTCGAAGTTCGCTGGTTTTAAACACTTGGTTCTCCCTAGGTCCCTAGGTAGGGACCCCCACGTCGGCGGATGGTTGGCCAATCATAGACAGGTGTCCCGTTCAAATCCCGCCCCACATTCCATTGTTACGCACACTCAGCCGCCGTAAACACTTCACTGTCGGTCTAGACGGCGCCGAGAGTCTCACCAAAACACCGGCTCGTTGGAATTCACGCAGCTGGTCAAAACACCGTCCGGGGCCGAGACGTGACGTGCTGACTTTCGGCCCTTCGTGTCTTCACGTTGAATGAAGGCGTCCGGATGATCTCATCGCCCCGGATCGTGCCCTGGTGGTTCGGTCGTGAAACCTTAGCCGTTGTTTACGTCGCTCGGATGTTATATTACGGCGCCCGTCTGGTTCGTTCGCTGGGCCGGCGTGCTTCCGAAGCGACGATGACGCCAGGCTCGCTGAGTCAGATGACCTTAACCCGCGAGAGGCGCTCGACGAAAACAAACGGCCAGGTGCAGACATTGCAGAAAATGGTTCAGGGGGGGGGGGGGGGGGGGGGGCGCACTCATGACGGCGTTTAACCCTGCCGCGGGCCATACGCAACAGCTCCTCCGCCGACCGGAAGAGGGTCTTGAGATGGAGCAGTCAGCAACCGCTCCAACGAGAGAGCTGTCCCGCTGCCAGGGTCGTTGCCCGTAGTCCAGGCCTGGGTCCACCGTCCCTTGTACTCTCGGAAGAACGGCATTAGTGGTTCACGACGTCACGAACCGTCAGACCCCAAACACCAGCAAGTGCCCAACTCCGCCCGAAGGGCTGCCAAGTGAAACACGCAAACAAATATGTCCTAACCAAAAGCGGCCTACTTTTTCCAGCGTGCGGGTGCGACCAGCAGAGCTAGACCATACAAAACCCACATTAAATGAGAGCAACTCCAATATCTATAGATACGCACTCGTTCACCCATAAACACACAAAAAAATGGACTATCATGAAAAAAAGCTAACGCTTTACGCTAGAACAAACGACTCAAGCAATCGGCATTTGAATGCAACTTCCCCTTTTTGTAGGTCACATGGAAGTTATATTCCTGAAGTGCCAGACTCCATCGCAGCAACCTTCCATTTTTTGGTGACATTTGCTGCAGCCAGGTAAGAGGGCAGTGGTCGGTTTCGAATGTAAATCTAGCGCCCGACAGATAACAAGATAATTTTTGTACAGCCCAGACTAGGCAAGCACATTCCTTTTCGGAGGCGCTGTAAGCCTCCTCCCGTGTGGTCAGCTTGCGGCTGGCGTAGAGGATCGGGTGTTCTTCCCCACCCTCGTCCTTTTGGCACAATACCACCCCCATTCCCCTGTCACTGGCGTCGCACTGCACATAGAACGGTTGCGCGTAATCTGGAGCCCTCAAAACAGGGCGGTCCGACAGCGCCTTCTTTAGCTTGCTGAAAGCTTCTTCCTTATCCTCAGTCCAAATTACCTTATTTGGGGCATTTCCACGAAGGGCGTCCGTGAGTGGACTGGCTATCTGCGAGTAATTAGCAACGTATCGTTGATAATAGCCAGTCAAGCCTAAAAACGAACGGATCTGGGTCTTAGTTGATGGCCTAGGATAGTGCTCGATTGCCTCCACTTTGAGTTCGGATGGACGGCGACACCCCTGACCCACCACGTGCCCCAGATATAACACCTCGGCCCGTCCAAGCTGGCACTTTTCAGCCCTCACGGTGAGTCCAGCCTCCCGCAACCTCCGAAACACTTCCCTCAGGTGGATCAGGTGCTCGGACCATGTCTCTGAAAAGACAGCTATATCATCTAGGTACGGTAGCGCGAACCCCTCGATTCCTTTCAGGACGTTGTCCATCAGCTTCGAAAAGCAGAACGGAGCATTTTTCAGCCCGAAACTAAGCATAAGCGGGCGAAATGTCCCGAGCGGCGAAATAAACGCCGCGCACCGGCTCGCGTTTTCTGTGAGCGGCACTTGCCAGTAACCGCGGACGAGGTCTAAGGTGGAAATAAACCGCGCGGCACTCACTTGCTCGACCCTCTCCTCGATATTAGGGAGGGGGTATGTTTGGTCGACAGTCACGGCGTTCAACTTTCGGTAGTCAACGCAGGGCCTAGGCTCTTTGCCCGGTACTTCAACCAAGATTAACGGGGAAGTATAGTCACTTTCTCCCGCCTCAATAACCCCAAGATCCAGCATGCGCTGAACCTCTCGAGCCATTATTTCGCGCTGTCTAGGCGAAACCCGATACGGCTTTGACCTAATGGGGGTCTCTTGGCTAAGTTGAATATCATGACAGACGAGTTCTGTCCTGCCCGGCCGATCTGAAAATATGTCCTCAAACTCGTTTACTAGGTCTCGTAGTTCACTGACTTGCTCCTCTGTGAGCCTCTCAGTGTTTACCGCTTCGGCCAACACTGAGTCCACCCCGAGCACGCCCTTCTGTCCTTCCCAGATGGGAAACTCAGTGGGGACCTCTTGCGGCATGTTCCAAGCTAAGCTAACAGTCTCCTTCCTCCCTACGTACGGTTTCATCAGGTTCGAATGGTATATTCGAACTTTTTTTCGTCGCTCTCCTGTTTCTACCGCATAGTTGGTCGCAGAAAGTTTTTGCACCACTTT